TCCTTTAGGGGGTCACTGCAGTCCCCGGGGTTTTTGGGGTGTCTGGGGTGTCCTTTAGGGGGTCACTGCAGTCCCCGGGGTTTTTGGGGTGTCTGTGAGGTCCTTTGGGCCTCGGGCATCACCTCAGAGGTGATCTCAGGTTCCTGGGAGGGTCATGGACACTTGGAATTCCCAGAGGGGTCGCTCGGGGTTTGGGGCGCTCTGTGATGTCCCTGGGGGTCCCGGGGGGTGTTTGGGGGTCCCGGGGGTCCCACACCCATCTCCCCCCTCCCCCCAGATGTGCTGGCCGGGTACAACGGCACCATCTTCGCCTACGGGCAGACGTCATCGGGCAAGACCCACACCATGGAGGTGAGGGGCACTGGGGGTTTTGGGGGGGCATTGGGGGTTTTGGGGGGGCATTGGGGGTTTTGGGGGGGCACTGGGGGTGCCCTGGCACCGACCGGGTGTTCACTGCCCCCCACCCCGCAGGGGAAGCTGCACGACCCCCAGCAGATGGGGATCATCCCCCGCATCGCCCGCGACATCTTCAACCACATCTACTCCATGGACGAGAACCTGGAGTTCCACATCAAGGTGGGCACTGGGAGCACTGGGAGCACTGGGGGGAGCACTGGGAGCACTGGGGGGAGCACTGGGAGGCCCTGGGCTGACACCAAACCCCCCCTGACACCCCGATCCCCTCCCCCCAGGTGTCCTACTTTGAGATTTACCTGGACAAGATCCGGGACCTGCTGGACAGTGAGTGGGGAGCATGGGGAGATACTGGTGGGGACTGGGATGAGGGCACTGGGAAGCACTGGGAGTCACTGGGAAGCTCTTGGGGGCAAAGTGAGGAGTACAGGGGGGTCCTGGGAACTACTGGATGGTTACTGGGAAGAACTGGAAATCAAGGAAAGGGGAGGGGGGCGTGCTGTGAGGAGCTAGATGGTTACTGGGGGGCACTGGGAGTCAGTGGCAGGGTACAAAGGAGCACTGGGAAGCACTGGGTGGTTACTGGGAAGCACTGGGTGGTTACTGGGAGGCACTGGGAGTCAGTGGCAGGATACAGAGAAGCACTGGGAGGCACTGGGTGGTTACTGGGAAGCATTGAGTGGTAACTGGGAAGCACTGGATGTTTGCTGGGAGGCACTGGGAAGGACTGGGAGGCACTGGATGGTTACTGGGAAGCACTGGGTGGTTACTGGGAAGCACTGGGAGGTTACTGGGAAGGGCTGGATGGTTACTGGGAGGCACTGGGTGGTTACTGGGAAGCACTGGATGGTTACTGGGAGGCACTGGGTGTCAGTGGGAAGCACTGGGTGGTTACTGGAAGGCACTGGGAGGTTACTGGGAAGCACTGGGTGGTTACTGGGAAGCACTGGAATCTCCTCGGGCATTTTGGGACGCCCCCCACCCCCCTCCTGTCCCCCCAGTGACCAAGACCAACCTGTCTGTGCACGAGGACAAGAACCGCGTGCCCTACGTCAAGGTGAG